AACTTTAGTGACACATGCTTTTTATCTGATCCTTTAAACTCCAGGCAGAGGCAGGTTCCAGCACATTTTCAGAAGACAGGGGATGGTGGAAGGAGAGAGTTAAATGAGGAGCAGAGGAAAAGGTGTGAAGAAACAAAACAAAACAAAAACTAGGGAGGTATTTGAGTAATTACATCTTGAAAGCCCAATGTGCCATGGAGAGATCAAACAAGATGTAACTTGTGTTTCTAAGTTTCTCAAGTCGTGTCCTTGTGACAGTACAAAACCTGATCAGCTGACACCTTGCTAGTCTTCTACAAAGGACATAGATTCCTCAGTTAATCTCACCTAAAACTTCGGGAAATTAACTAATAGGTGGGAATTTTCAAAAGTCCCTGAATTTCATATGGTCTTAAAGTGAAAGATAAAGGATAAAGACATCTCAAAATGCAAATGCAGATATAATCATCTAAATGCCCCATACCTTTATGAAGAAAAGTATAGGAGGTCTGACAATAAGACAGGGTTTGGAAGTTGCTTCCTAGGGTTCTCTTGATGGATCTGCATATCCCTTAACCAATACCAATGTTGTATTGAAAATTTGATGAAACTGAAAAGCTTCTGTAAAGCAAAGGACACTGTCACCAGAACAAAAAGACAGCCTACAGACTGGGAAATTATTTTCACCAACCCTCTATCTGACAAAGAGCTAATATCCAGAATATATAAAGAACTCAAGAAATTAAACACCAACAAACCAAGTAATCCAATTAAAAAATGGGTACAGAGCTAAACAAAGAATTATCTGTAGAGGAATATCAAGTGGCAGAGAAACACTTAAAGAAATGCTCAGTGTTCCTAGTCATCAGGGAAATGCAAATCAAAATGACCCTAAGATTTCACATTACACCCATCAGAATGGCTAAAATCAGAAACTCAAGTAACAACACATGCTGGATGTGGACAAAGGGGAACCCTCCTCCACTGTTGGTGGGAATGTAAACTTGTACAAACACTCTGGAAATCAATCTGGTGCTTTCTCAGACAATTAGGAATAGTGTTTTCTCAAGACCCAGCTATACCACTCCTAGGCATATATCCAAAACATGCTCACGTATACAACAAGGACATTTGCTCAACCATGTTTGTAGCAGATTTATTTGTAATAGCCAGAATCTGGAAGCAACCCAGATGTTCCTCAACTGAGGAATGGATACAGAAATTATGGTATTTTTACACAATGGAATACTACTCAGCAATTAAAAACAAGGAAATCATGAAATTTGCAGGCAAATGGTGGGAACAAGAAAAGATCATCCTGAGTGAGGTATCCCAGAAGCAGAAAGAAACACACAGTATATACTCAGTTATAAGTGGATATTAGACACATAATATAGGATAAACCTACTAAAATCTGTACACCTAAAGAAGTTAAGCAAGAAGGAGGACCCTTGGGTAAGATGATCAGAAAGGCAGACAGGATGGACATCAGAAGAGGGAGAAAACAAGGAACAAGACAGGAGCCTACACCACAGAGGGCCTCTGAAAGACTCTACCCATCAGGGTACCGAAGCAGATGCTGAGACTCATAGCTAAACTTTGGGCAGAATGCAGGGAATCTTATAAAAGAAGAGGGGTGAAAGACCTGGAGGGGACAGAAGCTCCACAAGGAGAGTACCAGAACCAAAAATTCTGGGTCCAGGAGTCTTTTCTGAGACTGATACTCCAACCAAGGATCATGCATGGCAATAACCTAGAACCCCTGCACAGATGTAGCCCATGGCAGTTCGGTCTCCAAATGGGCTCCTTAGTAAAGGGAACAGGGGCTGTCTCTAACTTGAACTCACTGGCTGGCTCTTTGATCACCTCCCCCTGAGGGAGGAACAGCCTTACCAGGCCACAGAGGAAGACAATGTAGCCAGTCCCTATGAGACCTGATAGGCTAGAGTCAGATGGAAGGGGAGGAGGACCTCCTCTATCAGTGAACTGGGGGAGGGACATGGGAAAAGAAGAGGGAGGGAGGGAGGGTAGGATTGGTAGGCATGAGGAAGGAGGTTACAGCTAAAATACAAATTGAAGAAATTGTAATTAATAAAAAGTTAAGAAAAAATCTGATAGCTGTTTACTTTGAAAATATTAAATAATAGACAAAATCATTACACTTAACCTCTTTATGTATCTGTGTGTACTTTTATGTTGGACTTAGCTTTTTATAGACATGAAGATGTTTCATACTTAAGAACCAGGGTTCCTGGTAAGTTATTAATACGATTCCAAACTTTGCCTTAAGCAGGGGCTTACTAATATACAGGCAGGCCTCAATTGTTTCTCATATGATGTTATTTAAATGGTGGTGAATTCCATGGTTCTCAGACCCAGGCAAGGCGGGGAAAGGTGACTTGGGTCCTCAGGGGACATTTGGCAATGTCTGGAAACATTTGAGGTTGTCATGACTGGGCAGCATTATCTGTAGCTAGTGGGGCAGAAGCCAGGGCTGTTGCTAAACCTTGTATGGTTCATGGGACAAGTCCTCACAGCACAGGATGAGCTGACCGAATATGCCAATAATGTGGAAGTTGAGCAAGCCTCCTCTAACCCAACTGCTTTAAGTATCAAGAAATCATTTCCATGAATAACCAGTGAGTAAAGCTGTATGTGAGCCATACAGGGCAGCAGAAGAAATGTTTGTGATTTGAGAAGAAAAACTGAAGAGGAAAACAGATTTTTATTCATTTATTTATTCACAAACACATTACAGTAAGCCAGAAAAAGAACTTCCTTCTCATGGTGTGAAGGAACAAAATCCTACTCACAAATACTAGTCTATGATCCAGTTATACTCCCCCATTGTTTTAATAAGCCCTCTAAAACTCAGTCTTGTTAACAAGCCATGCTACATAATAACAGGCAGAAAAGGAAAGCACCGGCAGCACGGCTTTCCCATTAAATTCCAGGTCTCCTTCCTTGCAATGGAAACTGCTGGTGAGGTTCATTGGAGGAAAACGCTGGTGTGCACTCAACCATTTAGCTCTAATCCCCATCTCACTTACTTCTTTCTTTCTTGGTAAATTTCTCAGTTTAGCATGGATGGGACCATCTTTGCTGTGGGAATCATGCTGGCTTAATCCCCTTGAGGACAATGGCAGCTGACACGGTCTAACAATATTCTAATAAGTTGAGCAAAATTGTTTTTATAGCAACGTTTTTTAAAAAAAAAAACTTGAATTAAAATAGTGAAATGGGCAAGAATGTCATTAAAAATAAGAGTGTCAGTTCCAACCCATAGAAGAGGGATCTATTCAATACATCAACATGTGAGTCTTCCTCTTTTGAATTCTAGGTGGCATACACCAAATCCAGACAGGTTCTATTTTTAGCATGGGCTTCCAGACACATCTTTTTTAAAAAAAATAAATACTTATAATTTTACAAATGAGTCTGCAACTAAAACTGTCCAATAAAAGGCGTGTTAGCTTCACCTTTGGGCGGCCTCTTGTCTCCACTGCCTGAAAAATTCAGCAGTTATTTGCAACGGTTCTCTCAATTGTCCTAATAACAGCACTGGAAATGTCAAGGCACTCAAAGACCTGGAAGGGCTGACACCCGAATGCCAGATGCTCAGCCACCACCCACACTGCAGCCATGATTTTCTTCTTCCCATGAACGGTCTTACAATGTTGAGGAAGTGTGAGCTTTAGAAATGACTGATTGGATGTCAAGAGTCTCTTCCGTCGTACCCTGGTCATCAACATGTTGGCTTCTGCTTCAGACCCCTGCCCTTTGGGAGCAGCACTCAGACCCTACCGGACTCTGGGAGAGTCAGCCTGTCCGGATGAACGCAGGAAAATGAAGGACTGAGAAAGCAGTAAGTGCGAGGCCTAGTCCAGCCCTTCAAACTCCAAAGAACTTAAATAAAACCAGGAAGAGTAAGCATGAGCTCGGGGAGGGGGGCCGGAGGCTTGGAAAACAGGGCTACAGGAAGGAGAGGAGAGCCCTCCAGGTCCTGGATTCCACCCTGTGACATTCTGCACTGCTGCCACGTTGACATCACACATGGCAGTGGCAGAAGACACACGCCTTATTTAAGACATACAGAATTTTGGCTCCAGAATACGTTACCCTGGGCTGTACAGCTCCTGGGCTGTTTGTGTGTTTGTTTGCTTTGTAACTTTTATTATTCCCAAAATAGCCTTTCCTTTTCCAAAGACTCCTTCAGATCCAGTTGCTACAAGGGATTTGGTATGTACAGCAGGCTCTGAACCCTTACTCTTTGGTACTATCTCCTGGACCCTGGGCAAGCTGCAAGCATCATTCTAAATATGTATTCCCTAAATTTTTGTTTCCCGTAAGCAAAGTTTAAGTGTGCCAGAAGGTAAGCCTCCTATGTCAACTCCTCCCAGCAGGCTCACTCATGTACCATGGCATGGCCGTACGCTTCTGTTTAGCTGCTGCGACAAGGGTATTACAGATCTGTCTGTAAGAGTTGTTCATTCCTGAAATCTCTGAATGAAATCCTGACTGAAGGGAAAATCCAAAGTTAGTTGCAGTTTGTCGTGTCGGTAGAAGAGAAGACCTCTCCTTGGGGTATGAGGGTGCAAACTCCTAGAACAAAAGCCTCACACAACCTACTCTGGAAAAACTGAAGGGCTGGTTGCTTCCATCACCTGTCCATCAGGTACCCTTGGCTCTTAGCCTCACAATGCAGCAGCAAAATTTGCCGTGAGTTAAGGACCAGGTAAAGGGTTTTCATGAATTAACAGCGCCTTTTCTCAAGGTAGCTCTAAAGTGCCACAGCTTTAAAAGAACCAAGGGGTGAATTTCCTATTGCTCACCCCCAAGCACCTCGGGACCTCCCTCTAGTATGCGCCCCCAGTCTGAACTGCTAGCCAAGTGAGGTCTGCCTGGCTCCACGGAGCCAGGAGGTGACTCATCCGGACGCTTCCCGGTGCTCCTTCGGGCAAGCAACTGGAGAGGTGCCCTCCCAGCCCGCAGGCCTGGCGGGGCGGGGCGGGGCTCGACCAGCCAAAGACAGGGAGCGGAACCCGCCGCGGGAAGCCGCCGCCCGCCCGGGCAGCCGGAGGCCAGGCGAGCGGGGCGGGGCTGGGAGAAGGGTGGCCGCGCTGCCTCGGGACCGCAGCGACCCGAGCCGCTCCTGCAGCGCCAGCCGCGATGGGGCTGGAGACCGAGAAGGCCGACGTGCAGCTCTTCATGGCCGACGACGCCTACAGCCACCGCAGCGGCGTCGACTACGCGGATCCCGAGAAGTACGTGGACTCGAGTCGCGACCGGGACCCTCACCAGCTCAACTCGCATCTCAAGGTGAGTTTCAGGCTGGGCTGTCACCTGGGCTGGAGGCTGCTGGGGGTCCCTGGCGTGCTGCAGGACGCCTCTTCAACTTCTCCCCAACAGCGGTCACTGGTCCCATTGGCCCTCCAGCCCTGGTCCCACAGCCGTCAGACTCCCGGCACAGCCAGGGGTGTCCCGGGTCCCGAGTGCCCACTGTCGCTCCCAGAAAAGCTGGTGATACTCTAGCCACGTCTTTCCTTCTGACTTCCCTGCTTGAAGTACCTTTGCTGCTCCCCTCCCACACCCTCGCCCCACCTTCCCCGACAGATTGGGTGACAGCATGGGGCCCCCATCTTGTCTCTGCAGCTAGGCTTCGAGGATCTGATCGCAGAGCCCGAGACCACACATTCCTTTGACAAAGTGTGGATCTGCAGCCATGCCCTCTTTGAAATCAGCAAATACGTGATCTACAAGTTCCTGACGGTGTTTCTGGCCATCCCCTTGGCCTTCGTCGCCGGTATCCTGTTTGCTACCCTCAGCTGTCTGCACATCTGGTGAGAAGGGACACACGGGGTGGCTCCGCCTTCCGAAGCACACAGATGTTTGTGTCACCTGCTCTCTGCTCTTCCTATTTCCCAGGATGGTTTGCAGAGAAGGCTTAGTTAGCTTCCAAGGGTAGCAAGACCTGAGAAACCACAAGGGCAATGTGCTTTCTTTAGAATAACAGTCCCCCCCAGCTGAGAGTTTAAACAGAAGAAAGCCAGGGCCTCTTTCCTGGGTGTGAGTTTTCCTTGCAACAGAAGGCTGAGCTGAGTATGAAGGTGGGGCCTGGAAGGATGCTTCCTGCCACAAGCTGCTCTCCCAAGGCCCTGTTGTGACTTGTGCCTGTGGATCTGGGCAGGTCCTTTCCCCCTTTCATTGCCTTTTATTCAGTCACCATCTGTGCTTGGCTAAAACAAATGTGCGCTCAGAGCAGAACGCCCCTGACAGTCTGACTCAACAATGGCAGGCTTTAGTAAACAGTACCACTGCTGAAAGGCAGTAATGGAACCAGGGGAGACCAGAGGTGTCCACAATGATGGGTTTGCCCACCACCTGCCATGGAGAAGTGAAAACTCAAGGTCTGAAACAATGGAAGAAGGCCATTACATTATTGTCTCACCTAGGAAGCACAAATGAAAATGGCATCTAGTTACGAGAAAAATAATTATTATGAAAACCTAATGAGCATTGATAGAATGTTTGTAAGTACTCCCACTGTTCTTGCGAGAAACAGCATATTCCTCCAAGAATTTCTTTCGTGTTAAAGGTTATTCACCTGTTTACTGTTAAGAGATATCAAATAACTCCTTTCAGTCTCTACCTGAACTTCCTGTTAGCTAGCTAGTTCTCTACACTAAGTCTATCAGGTGCTCAGTTTTGACGGGCAAAGACACAAACCTTTCTTCAGCTTGCCCCTCTTCTGTGAGGGGGATTTAGATACAGATGCGAATGGTGAGGAAAATACGATGAACTGTAACGGAGAAGTTGGGAAACAAGGGTAACTTTATGAGGGAAAGAAATCTGAAAAAAAAAAAAGTCTTTTGGAAGATAAATATAAATTCAGATGATCAAAGGATAAAAAAAAAAGAACATCGATTTAATTGTTTGAGGTTGTAGCAGCCATGTTGAAAGCAATCTTCTGAAATCTGCCAGAAGATTGCCAGAGAAGAGAAGCCACACAAACCATGTGCACGGTTACCCAATATCTGAAATTCTCACACGTGCAGGTTTCTTACATGCCCAAATCAACATGTAAAACTGAGAATTCCTAGTTAATTAAAACTGCCAGTGGAACATCTAAATCTGTCTTTTTTCCACTTTCCAACATAGGAAAAGACAAAGGATCTACAGCATTGTGACATGCTAGCTTTGACACTCTCGGTAAACACAGATGGAGATTAATTGACAACTGTAGGCTGTCCCATAGCTTTCATGAAAGAATTGGGGGTGGGGGGAGTTCTCATTTGCTAAATGCTGGAAAGATATTAAGGGTACTACAATGAGCCCAGTGACGCTTCTCTCCACCTGTCTTTTCTGAGAATGGGAGGAGTTCTGTGTTTGGCCTCCACTGGTGAATCATCATCCCACTTTCCTTTTAGACACATAATATGTATTATTTAACTTCAGACTGTTCTTCAAATTGCATTCATCTGGGATATTAATATTTAATTGTCACAGAGTTGTCATCAGGTAGCCATGAATCTATGCTTATACGTTACATTGTGCCTTGATGCAATGTTGTCAAGAAATAAGAGTTATCATTACTAAATTACATCCCCCTAGCATATAAGGCAGATTGATGGGAAACTTCATAGCTTATGAGCAAGCTTTGCTTTTGTTTTGTTTTTTTTCTTTTAGTTTTTTATTTTATATTTATTAAACAAGGGGTTGTTCATTGTTTAACCAAAGTTGAGAAAATATAAATAAATAGATAAATAAATAAATAAATAAATAAATAAATAAATAAATAAAGGGGCTATAGACCAAGTACAGTGTCACCACACATTTGATTTTAGATTTTTGCACTGGTTGTTATTATTGTTTGTGTGTGTGGGGGGGGTTATTTAGTTTATTCATAGTCTTGTCTATTTGTGAGCACAGAGCTCACTCTGTTGCTCAAGTTGGCTTTGAACTACTGGGCTCAAGCAATCCTTGTGTCTCATCATCTTTAGTAACTAGATTTACAACTATACATCCTGACAGCTAGACTTCGGATTGTCCATCCAAATAAATAACAAATGCTAAAATACAGCTATCTGGTTATATTGGACCTTCAGGCAAATGTTTGGGTCATTAGGATCGGTGATCTGATTTTATTTGGTGACATTTTATTCGATGTCAGATCCATTCATCATTTGGCAAATAAGTTTACTGTAAATAAATGCATCATAACTGAAGAAATGTGACTGGGACATCTATACTCTATTTTTTCTGGAATTGATGCAAATAGATGTCCAGTTGCTGTAAATACAGTTCTCAGCTTCTCATTTTAAAAGTTTTCAATACAGCACACTGCTGAGCCAAAGCAGTCTTTAAGACCCTTTAAGACCCTGTAGTATAAAAACAAACAACAATCCCCAATCTTAGGCTAATTATCCAGTGTCAGCATACAGGATCTGTAGGTTATGACGTTTGCATAAGAAGTATTTATCATTACTCTAAACTGTGTGCAGTTTTAGAAGAGAATTAATCAACAATGGTGAGAACGTAACTCAGATCCTATATCCAAGGATTGTTGAACTGGGACAAAGACAGTGCAATTTGAGGACAATAAAATGTGTTTATCACATCCAGTGAGCTGAAATCTTCAAACATGGGCAGCTACACTTTGCTGACCACAGCACAAGTCCTTATAGATCCCAGAGATGTAATGGGTTATGAAGATGGAAAGGAATTAGACTGAGGAAGAGTGGACATCGAGGTGAAATGGATTTCATAAAGAAACTTTCAGACATAAACTTCAGACTTCTATTAATTTGAGGTTATTTTATACTCTGATTTCAAAATAAGCCTATTGATTGTTATTTATTACACCACACTGCCATGTGGACATCTCGAGCCAGGTAGTAAGGCTTAGCCCCAACAGCTGTTTCTGTAAGATTTCTGGTTCCTTGTTAATTTGTGGCAATGTGTCAAAGTGACATCAAGTGACATGTGGAATAAGCCGTTAGACGTCGACATCACTCAACCTTTAGTCATCTGTTTAGTCCTAAAGCCCTTATAATTATTTTTTTTACATTATTGCTTCAAATATTTATCAGTTGGAACAAAACATAAGGTAAATATAGTCTGTGTAGATGGGCAGTATGAATAATTCAGCACCCTAAAAACAAATCCATCAAACACACAGTTGCTGATCCTCTCGGACAAATGCAATAGGCTTTTAGTTAAGTCACATTTTAAGAGCAATCCAAGAAAATCAACCTTGCTCCCAACTCTTCACCCAAGTAATAATAAAAATTCCATCGAGACCTCTGGCAGTTCTCAAAATTCACAAACACTTTTGTGCTCAAAGGGAACATTGTTCGAGGTGATTACTCACAAAAATTCACCTGGGAAATATAAGAATATTAAGCTACTTCAGAAAAAGTATACAAACGTAGGAATAATATTTTCTCTTCTAGCTACACCACACAGCCCTTTTTGATGAGTGTAATTACTATGAAAAATCATAATGTGCAGTAGTTAGTGACATAATAGATGAAAAATTATGAAGCTGAACAATGCTAAATTCATTTTCACTCATATCTTAATGAAAGAGAAAGTTCAGCACATATTCTAGAAGGAAAGACAGAAATATAAGTACCATGCTTTTTGACAAATTTGGAAATTAAGAGGTTTGTTTCAGTTCACTAGAAATGCAGTGACGAGGCTCCCATCCAGCTGGCTAAGAGGGAAGGCAAGGAGAGAGGCCACAGGAAAGGCAGGCAGGAAGTAGAACCTCAGAGAAACAGGAAGCGCTAGCCGGCTAAAGTTTAGGGGCAGGGATCTGGCAGAGAATGAACCGTTTTGTTTATTTTTGTTTTACCGTTTCCACTAGCATTCAGCCAGCAGAGAGAATATTAACATCTATCATCCATGTACCTGTTTATCTTTTAAGCAACGTACCTCTTGTATTTCTTATCACTCTGGCCATTGTCCCTTTATTTATTTTGAACTGTTAAGTCATTATTATATTTGTTCACGCATGTGGGTCAGGCCCCTTACTTAGTAACACCAACTGTTCGTAGTAACATTAACGATGCTTGTATTTTCCCTCTTCCCCGTTCCAGGATCCTAATGCCTTTTGTGAAGACCTGTCTAATGGTCCTGCCTTCCGTGCAGACGATATGGAAGAGCGTGACGGATGTTGTCATCGGCCCATTGTGCACAAGCGTAGGACGCACCTTCTCGTCTGTCAGCATGCAGCTGAGCCACGACTGACCACTTAGACCCCAGGTCCACATATCTGGATACTGCACTATTTTGTTGATGTAACACAAAGCACTACTGTTCTGTTCGCTTCCCAACTTTTATAATTAAGGATACTTTTAAGATGTGACCAAGGTTCGTAAATGTTTACTGACAGATCATTACAAATAATGACTGCCCTACTAAGAGCCAACGATCTCATAGCTAATTGTGTAACAAGTATTGGCAACACTCAGTGTAACAACAGACAGTTTTTCCTTTTAGTAGAGAGCATGTATTTGTATCGATGACTTGATAAGGGTCAAGGGGCAATTTCCTCAAATGAGACAGTAATTTTGTGCATGACTGATCATAAAAGTATGGGAGTTCTTATTTTCTTTTACTCTAGGAGTAATGTTTTAAAATTGCTTTTACTGATATGGTCATAAGATAGCTAGAGGTAATATATGCAAACATTCTAAAAACCGTGCAGTAACAAAAGCATATGCTTATAATAACTATCAAATATAATAAGACAAATAAATGTGAAAATGTATTCCTCTGTGATATTATTAGCCTGCAAGCCTGTTTAATAAGATGTTTCATTTGGATGTATATTTTAAAGCTAATGCAAATGTTAACCATAATGCAATTACTTTAGAGTGTTTTTTCTTGCATTTGCCGTCTTATTGATCTCATAAATAAAGTAAGTATAGCTACCACAGGGTAATTTTCTTTGTAAGACTGTGATGTCACACGTGAGAATTTTTGTAGCTTCTTTGGAATCCATTGTAAAATGTTCTGTCAAGGCCTCCTCTCTAGGAACTTTCCCAGCAAATGTTTGATGACTGGGGTTCATCCAGCTGTGACTGCAAGACATGTACTTGGTTCGTTTACTAGAAGTTCTCTCCCATGTAGTTAGAAACTTCATAAGTGCTCTACATTCCTGTGACTGCTTCACTTGCTTGCAAGTAATTCTGGTGCTAGTTCAGAATGTTTTCTATAAAGTCTGTATCCAGCATCTAAGCACAGTTTTTACTACAGTGGCTTATGTAGAGAAACTTACAGGAGAACTAACAATTGTGAGGGTTTATAAAACTGAAGTACATGTGTAAATTAAAAAGTAATAGTTGCAAATCTTCAAGATGTCCTCTGCAATGAATTTTATAACCCGTAAAACATTAATTCCCTTTTCAACTGTAGTTCTATTTTAGCATTTAGCTCTATTTTAGCCTTTAAAGAATTGGCATACAAAAACTTTCTACATTATACTTACTATAATTTATCAAGTTTTAAAATTATTTTCAGTACCTGAGTTAGCATTTGCCTGAATATGCTCATGGGTATCAAATCTTCATTCACTGAAGATTAATAATTTTTTTTTTAAATTTCCAATTCTTGTCAGATTTATGGGTGATCGAACTGGAATTCTATTGTAAACCAGATCAAAAGACCGTGTCAAAAAACTAAATGATAAAACTCATATTTCTTGAAGGCAATCATAAAAGAAGCATTTCAGATGTCCTTAGAGTATTATACCATCCTCAGAAAAGAGGTCATAGCTTGATAATCGTCACCAAGCATTGCTACTAACATGACTATAGAGATTGTATTGTGCTAGTTTCTAAGGTCAGTCTCATGGCTTTATACTACTTTTTGTAACTTAAGTTTTAAACTCTTGGATATATTGATTAGTCAAGAAATATAGTAATAAAATATCAATTTAATAAATTATAAGCTTTGATTTTTTAAAATAGTTTTGACAGACTTTAAAGACAAATATGTAATAATTATATATCAAAACCTTTAACTTCTAATATATATGATTCTCTTTTTCTGAATTATATTGATTACTTTCAAGTGAACTTTTATTAAAACTTTTAATGAATTGTTTTGTGTCAAAAACTCAAATTATGAATAAAGCAAATGAAAGTTAAATATGCAGATATTTTGGTTCTTTAATCTGGGGCAGTTGGAAGTCAGAGGCAAAGAAACTTCCTCATTATCTATAATAAACATCTTTAAAAACAGTAATGAGTTTAATGATTTTATTATATTCTCTTTCTGCTGCTTATTTCATGCATTTGGAATTGAAGAGCAAGAACCTTTTCAAATGAAGTTTAACTTATGAATCCTCAAATGACAAGTACATGAGTTACTGTTCCAAGACGTAGCTATCAGGGTGAGGACATGGGTACCCACGTAGAAGCCGGGTGAATTTGGCAACTCATCTTTAGCTCCCATCACTACAAAGGCAGAGATGGGATCCCGAGAGCCAGCTGGCAGACTAGTAATGTCCATAAGCTCTGAGTTCTACTGAGAAACCCTGCTTCAGCTGAAAAATTATAGAAGACTTCCAACATCACACCTCAGGCCTCTGCATGCACAGCCACGCACACGAATGTGTGCACACATGAGAAAACGTGGACACACACACACACACACACACACACACACACTACAAATACACAGAAGGAAAAAGAGCGTTTTTCTTAAAAAAATAAGACTTTTTAACTTCTTGAGTTATTTTTATATTCTGATATTAGCCCTCTGTCAGGTATAGGGCTAGTGAAGATCCTTTCCCAGTTCGTAGGCTGTCATTTTGTTACGATGACAGTGTTCTTTGCTGTACAGAAGCTTTTCAGTTTCATGAGGTCCTATTTATTGATTGTTGATCTTAGACCCTGTGCTGTTGGTGTTCTGTTCAGGAAATTGTCTCCTGCAACAAATCAAGTAATCCAATTTAAAAATGGGGTACAAAGCTAAACAGAGAATTCTCTGTAGAGGAATATCAAATGGCAGAGAAACACTTAGCGAAATGCTCAGTGTCCTTAGTCAACAGGGAAATGGAAATCAAAACAACCCTGAGATTTCACCTTACACCCATCAGAATGGCTAAGATCAAAAACTCAAGTGACAACACATGCTGGAGAGGATGTGGAGAAAGGGGAACCCTCCTCCATTGCAGGTGGGAATGTAAACTTGTACAACCACTTTGGAAATCAACCTGGTACTTTCTCAATTGGGAATAGTGCTTCCTCAAGATCCAGCTATACCACTCCTATACCAGCTATACATCCAAAAGGTTCTTAAGTATCCAAGGACATTTGCTCAACCATGTTTGTAGCAGCCTTATTTGTAATAGCCGGAAGCTGGAAACAACCCAGATGTTCCTCAACTGAGGAATGGATACAGAAATTGTGGTACATCTACACAATGGAATATTACTCAGCAATAAAAAAAACAAGGAAATCATGAAATTTGCAGGTAAATGGTGGGAACTGGAAACGATCATCCTGAGTGAGGTAACCCAGAAGCAGAAAGCCACACATGGTATATACTCACTTAAAGTGGATATGAGACATATAATATAGGATAAATATCCTAAAATCTGTACACTTAAAGAAGATAAGCAAGAAGGAGGACCCTGGATAAGATGATCAATCCTCACTCTGAAAGGCAGATGGAACAGACATTAGAAGAGGAAGAAAACAGGGTACAGGACAGGAGCCTACCACAGAGGGCTTCTGAAAGACTCTACCCAGCAGTGTATCAAAGCAGATGCTGGGGCTCATAGCCAAACTTTGTGCAGAGTGCAGGGAATCTTATGAAAGAAGGGGGGATAGAAAGACCTGGAGGGGACAGGAGTTCCACAAGGAGAGCAACAGAACAAAAAATCTGGGTCCAGGGGTCTTTTCTGAGACTGATACTCCAACCAAGGATCATGCATGGAGATAACCTAGAACCCCTGCTCAGATGTAGCCCATGGCAGCTCAGTATCCAAGTGGGTTCCCTAGCAAGGGGAACAGGGACTGTCTCTGACATGAACTCAATGGCTGGCTCTTTGATCACCTCCCCTTGAGGGGGGAACAGCCTTACCAGACCACAGAGGAAGACAATGCAGCCAGCCTTACAAGACCTGATAGGCTAGAATCACATGGAATGGGATGAGGACCTCTCCTATCAGTGGACTTAAAGTAGGGCATGGGAGGAGATGAGGGAGAGAGGGTAGGATTCAGAGGGATGAAGGGAGGGGCCTACAGCTGGGATACAAAGTGAATAAACTGTAATTAATATAAAAATTATAGTTAAAATTAAAAGAATTATGAGACTGATCTTTTAGGTCTCTGTTTTTCTAGCACCTAAGGCGATCCCATGTGAACGCTTCTGTTATTTGGTGAGTACTATGCAATGGCTTGCTCACAAACCAACTGCCCCCGATCTTTGTAACGTCTCCTTTTGCTAATTCTAAAGAAACTCATGTCTCTAGCTCTCAAATACAGAAGCAATAACAATATAAATCACATACTAAAATACCTTGTATCCCAAAGCCAGATTTATCCAACATTATTTTTGGAAAGTATGTGAAGACCAACTGCTGATATTGGCACAGACTTTCTTGTGGTCAATTAACCTGATAATAAATCAGACATTTGGCTTTTTAAACCTGTTCTTTATAGATTGAAAGAACTTTAAAAGTCCCTCTTTTTATTAGTAGTCTAAATCCCATTAACTTATTTCCAAGTCTTTCCTGAGAAGCTGTTGCCTGTAGGAAACAGACCCCTGTCCTGAAAGTCAGATGTCTCCCTCGGCACTTCCAGGACTTCTTTCGTGTACCTCCCGCAAAGGGCTCAGCCTCGGACTCTTGGATTTCTTCTCTGTATCGAGAAGACAGAATCAAATGCTCTTCCAGGAGCTCCACATGCCACTGTTTTCTTTTTCTAGTCTTTGCTTGTTTGTTTGTTTGTTTGTTTGTTTGTTTGTTTGTTTTCGAGACAAGTTTTCTCTGCTTTAGCCCTGGCAGGCTTGGGACTCACTCTGCAGACATGGCTGGCCTCAAACTCACAGAGATTTGACTGCCTCTGGCTCCCAAGTGCTGATGTTAAAGGTGTGCACAGCCACCGCCCAGCTGCCACTGTCTTCTACAACAGCAAGATTTGCGTATGTCTCCTCTTACAATCTAGCTGTTTAGTCCAAGACTTTTAATAACAATAATTTAAAAAGCAGCATAATTGCTGTATATTCAGTTGAGAGACTGAATATTCATTCACACATCTACTCTTCACTCTGCCACCGATTATAGGACTTTTTTTTGTAACTTTGATTCTTTATTTAATGAATTCCTAGATTTTTATGGACTTTAATATTATTATTCTATTCCCTGAAGTAACATGTTATGGTACATTTTCATTTGGATTAAGTTTGAAAATTAACTAACAAAATCAATGTTTTATCAGTGTTATGGTTTGGATTTTGAATGGTCCCCAAAAGGCTCACATCCTAAGGGATTGGTCACCTGTGTGTGGTGACACTGGGAACTCACAGAACCTTAAGGAGTCAGGATCCAGACGTAACAAGCCATGTCTTTAGAGGTGTGGCATGGAAGAAAATAATGGGATCTCAGCCCCTTCCTGTCTTTCCCCTCTCAGTTCTCAGTTACCATGAAGCAAGCAGTTTACTCTACCACACGTATTTTCCCTCAGTATATACAGCCCAAAGGCAACATGGCCAAGAAATGGAAAAGATGAGCCCCAAATAACCCTAAGTTCTCTCAGGTGTTTGTTTATGCTGGCAATGAGAAGCAGATTGAGAACCATCACTGCCATTGTCTTCCTCACCTTCGGCCTGGTTGTCAGCCAGAGCTTCCCAGCTGCCCTCTTCCTCCTCCTTCACAGTTCTCCAGACTGTCTTTCTCTTTAAAATGTTGCCCTATCAAAGCTACGTCTTGTCGTTGATGTAAAGCATTGGCTCTTACAATGATCATTCGAAGTCTTGAGCGACTCTCACAAGGCTCATCATGCTGTCACCTTCAAAGAGTCTCTGTGGGCCTCTTGCTAACACTTACAATGTTAACTAACCTCATTATAAGGCTGCTTAAGTCTCCGAAACATGACTGGACATTTGGCTCCTAGAATCCTGGAATGGTGGCAGCCAAATGAACTGAGGAAATGTTTTCTGACTGAATAACGACATGAGCAAATAACTAAGGAAAATCTGGGGTAACATTTCACCCTCGTATTTTATTTACAAGGGGAGAGTGAAACAGACTGGTTTTGGTAAAAGTTTCCTGTTTGTGATTTTTCACACTCATAAATCACTAATGGGAAAACTAAACCTTACGTAAGGCATAGGAGGTGCATTCCGTTCTTTGGGGCTATGCCAGCTGCACTGGTCACATGCATCATCGTTGTGACAGAAAAAAAAAATGCTGACAAATGCAACTTCAAGCATTTGTTTTGACTTGTGTTTTAGCCAGAGAAATACTTGGTCATGGTGGGAAAGGTGTGGGACAGGAGTGGGAAGTACATGAACTTACTGCCGCCAGGAAGCAGAGAGCAGCCAGAAAGGCTCAGCTAGAACTGTCAGAGCAGCAGCATACACCAGCCAGGCCCCACCTCCTAAAGGACTGTAGCTACTGGCAGCTCTGGCAGCTGAAGACCAAATGTTCAAACACATGGCATTTCTCACTCACGCCAGGCCTGTCTTAGTCTGCATGGCCTTGCTTGAAACCCACCTTCAAATCTTCAAGAGCAGGAATCTCTACAACTTGGAAACTTGCTTGTCGATGTGCTCACGTGGTTCTTAGGATGGCAGCTTCCTTTGTGAGCCCACTGCCCACTGAAATAAACTGAAGTGCAGCGTCTGTAGAATTTTGCAAGTAAGGAAACTCACCCTACACACGGTTTCATTTGAATGGTAGCACAAATTAAAGGGCTTCGTTGCTGTGGCTGCAGCTTTATCACTGCGGAGTGTTTGCACGTGGTAACAAGAATTTACAGAAGTTTTGTGGGGCTACATGAAACAGCCAAGGGAAGAAGCTAGGTAGAGCTGCAACGAGCATGCACCACAGCCTATGTGGCTCATCACAAGTCAGTACATAGGCTATTTCCTCTGGAAAGCGGGCCGAGGAGGAGGATGTCAGTGCAAGAGATATGCAGGCTACAGGCTCAAGGAATAAGAATAATTTGGGGTCGACTCACTCAGGCTCTTCTCTCTTCACTTCTAAGAAGTAAAATGAGCAAAA